AGCCAAAAAGGGTGTAGTTTGTGTGTGTGATCACCCGTGTGTACACCTGTGAGCATGGACGCGCTTGTTTTTTAAAAGGTTCCTTCATGTAATGATCTGCTAAGTAACACTGTACTTAGGTGAAGTACTTACTTAGTTTCACCACCTTTGGACATGTCTCTGCTCTCTTTCTCTTGTAGGGCAGCCTTCCCCAACCTTTTTTGGGCCACGGACCGGTTTATGTCCGGCCTTTAACGTGTCGCAAATACAAGACTTGTACCAAAAAAAGAAGATTTATTCATAACACACGGGAAAAGTCCCAGGGAAACCAAGTTAACGATAAAAACGATTAAAAAATAACGATAAAAACCATGAAAACCATCAATTTCACCTCCGAGCCTCAACTCTCGCGGCCCGGTACCAAACAACTCACAGATTGGTATTAGTGCCCCGGGTGTTGGGGACCACTGTTGTAGGGGACCTGTTCACTTCATGTATGTAGCCAAATTGGTGTAGCCATTAATGGTTGGAATTGGAGCTCATTATTCAAAATAAATAATAATTTACACTTGCTGAACAATATAGGATTTTCAAAACCAATACTGATATTTTGTGATTTAAAAATCAGATATATGGACCATTACTTTTTCTTTCAGTACACAAAACATAAATAGATGTGACAATCGCATTGCATTATGTACATTACATCTACTCATTTATGCTCTGCCTGACTTAGATCACTTGGCTGTTTGTAGGTTCCAAATTGCTGCAACAGGTGAGTTGCAGGGTGCCCTGTGGAGAACAAACTGTGCAACGTCAGCACAATAACATAGCATCTTCTTTACTTTTTACATTTTCATTTATTGCCTAAACTGGAGCTGCCAGTATGTCGAGCTTTACTTACAAAGAACCCAATTTTGCCAATATCAATCGCACCAGTTTCCAAATGATTCGCTTATAAGGAGGAGACATGGCACTCACAGAAATTCAAGGGAGAATTTGCTGGTAGAAGTTTAGCTACTGGGACAAAATGTCCATTGAAACCATTGAACTTAAAGATAATTTGGATAATGTTTTAAAATAAGTATCTGGAGGCATTTCAAGATGGCTGCCAAGTGGCCAGACTTGTGTCTAGAATGACTTTGGTGATGCCTGAAATTAAAATGAACATTATTACTTAGAGAACTAATATCTAATTCTCATAAAAATCACAAGTTAAAACCTCCAAGTTCTTTTTGAACACACAATAAAACTTGCAAACTGCTGTAATTGTGTGCATGTTACATGGCACCAACTCCATAGGCCCCATTTATGCTAAACTGTCTTGCAACCACCCACTATAAAACAAGAAATCTCTAAGTGGGAGTCAAGAGTTCTCCTCTACTTGTAAAGTCTCTGATGCCTCTGAAATAGAAACAAGGTAGTATTAAAACTGTAATTTTCTTGTTATACTTCCAGTGCTTCTTCTCTCATAGGCAACCAGTTTTTTTTCAAATGGCCATCCACTGATATGAGTCACACATTAAGAGCAGAAAATGGTTCGCTGTACACAGCTGATTTCATAATTGCTGCTACCCAGAGCAGGCTGAATATTAAAAAAAAATTAAGTGACTCTGTGGGGGAACTGCAGAATGGCTGCTTATTAAGCGTACTTGATGCTTTTTTTCTGACAGTTCCCTTTGTTGTCTTTTATTTCAGATTGAAAGACCTTCATCGTGGTGAAAAACCATCAGAGACAGCTTTTTAACTCGCCATAAATGCAAAATAAGAGACGTAAAGTGAGAAAGGTTTCATGAGATGACATTTTGTCCCTGGCTTATTCAAAAGAGCCAACATCAGACCCTGAAGAGAAAAGGCAGTGAGGGAAGTAACTTTTGTAGCTCCATAAATGGCCTCAGTATCCTGCAGGTGTCGTTGAGTGTGACAAAAATCTATTCAACATGAGCAATCCAACTAGTATCCAAGGCCTGAGGGTCAGTGTTGACAGAGGAGAAAAGATTGGAAATAAAACCCAGATCCAGTTCTCTCAGTCTGGAGATGACAACGCCAATCAGTTATCCTCAATCAGTGATCAAGAAAGAAGAGGTTTGTATGAGGACACGGGATACGGCACAAGCTCTATGCCTCCCTTGGTCTCTCAGAGCGACTCCCCAGAAAAGTTAGAGTTTTGGGGATCAGAGCAGCAATGCGTGGAGTCTGACTATGAGCTTTTGGCACGTCAGGAGATACATACTTACCTGGGAAGCAGGAAGCAGGAGGAGAATGAGGAGGAGGACGATTGTGGAAGCATGAAAGATGGAAAAGATGAAGGTGCCATGTCAATATCATCGAGTTCAACAGCCAGCTCTGCTTCTACCGGCGTGAGGAGAAATGACAATGACAGCAACAGAGTGGAGAGTAAAATTCAGAGAGGCAAAGAGGTTCAGAAAAGGATCGCCTGTCATAGCACTGAGGAGCTAGACGCATGCGTGACAGCAGAGAAACAGGACACCAGGTCAGGCAGAGAAAGATGGAAGGGAGGTCTGAAGGAGTCTAAGTCTGAGACGAATGTGTTTGTCTCCAGCCTGTCAGCTGTTTCCCTCAGTGGAAGCCTGTCTAGTGCTCTGGATGGTGATGGAGAAACTTCTCTCGCCTCTCTGTCGAAGACCAACCCTTATCACAATGCCCAAAACACTACCTCAGCCCAGAACAGAAGAAGGGCAGCCCCTGTAGATGCCAATCAGAACTCCCCACCGATGCATCCTCAGGAGACCCTTAACCCAGCATTCTCATACCAGGATCAGAGAAAAGATGAGAGAAGTCATAGAAATGGCTTGTCCTCTGATGGAGGGCTGGGCCAAAGGAGAAAGGCTGGATTTGAGGAGAGGGTGCTGCCACCACGGCGCCAACAGCTTGTGAGACCTCTCTGTCAGACGGAGATGGGAAGAGCGAGGAGTGCAGACTCCAACACTCAGCAAACTGAGACAGGGCAACTGTCTCCTCTTAACCTCTCTGCAGATCCACACAGTAATGGGTCAAACAGAAAGTTTACAAAAACATCTTTACGTGAACCATCGGATTTCTCCCACCTGTACAACACATCTGGAATCTCCCAGCTGAGGCAACCCAGCCAGACATCCCAAAGGGAGACTGCACCAGCGGAAAAACAGCCAGCTACAAGTGCACGCCACAGTTCCAATCCCTCAAACCCTTCCACCTTAGAGAAGAGACCCCAGACTCAGCTTACATACAGAAGGAATTGCTCTAGTCCCAACAGAACTGGGGTTGAATCCAGGTCATCAACCCCTCCACACTCACCTCTCAGGACACCCCAGGGCTCACCATGCAGGCAACCCTCCATGTACCTCGTTTCTAGGAATGTCTCTGGAGTGGTTAGACACATCCCTGCTGTATCAACATCAGCTCAGGGCTATGGCAACAGTTGCTTGAGAGCACCAGTCAAAACTAATATAAGCACAAGTGGAATCCCCAAAGCGCCTCTTAACAACCAGCAAAGCTCCCCCAGCTCTAACAACAACAACTCCCCCAAAGACAGCTCGCCATCACCTAAACTGAAACCTAAAGGAGTTCGCCCCAAAATCATTACCTACGTCCGAAAGAATCCTCAGTTTAAGCCTCAGGCTTCTGATGGACCGTATCAGGTATCCTCTCTACCATCCAGGCTGTCCGCATGCACCCACAGCCAAACACCCACATCTTTTAAAGACACACCTAAAGAGCCCCCAAGGCCTGATCCGGAAACCCGAGGAGCCCCAGTTCTTTGTGCCTCCAATCTGCTTTATGATAAGTACCGACAGGAGATGCAGACAAACATTTTTCCATCAGGAATACTGAATAGGAGTATAAGGGCTCCTGGACACACAAACACTGTTCCACCCGTACACGCCCATAGCCACACAGCACCTCCAAAACTGGGCAGCAAGGCAGACAACTTCTATGGGACACCATCAGAGGTGAGTCCTGTTTACTGTAGAGATGTGATTTTAAGTCTTTCTTTTATTATGAGTCTTACGCACAGTTTATTGACTAAGCATGTTAATGCTTCCATCATGCTGATAGGCCTAGTAAACCATATATAATTGATAACAGGTCTTTTGCATTTTATGATCACTCTCAGAGGACCTTCATTATTGCTTCTAAACCTATTTCTTATTGATACTGATTCAATAAATTCATTTTGCATTCATACTTATATACGCAGTCAAACACGAACATGGGGAAATAAATATTTAATGCTTGTTGAAGTGCAAAGTCCGCGGGGGATGAGTTAGTTTTCAGTGCTTCACATGACAATGTATGTGTGTTAGCATTTTGCCTAGAACACAGAAACACTGTTGAGAGTGTCAACAATTCAAATTTATTCCGCAGCTTCCAGTTTCCCTGCAGGACTCTGTTACATTTTCATTTAGAGTTAATAACATCTGATTTGCTGGGTTCCATTTTTCATCAGATTTGATTGCTTCTACTCACAATATAAGAAAAAGAAGCATGCAGCAGAGTTCCAAACTGAGGATAGAAATACCTTTTTTTTTAAATAATCAGCATCATGCTGCTATTAGATTACAGGGTGCATTGCACTTTTGCACAAAATTAAAGCTGCCACAATATCCAGAGATTGTTGTTAACAAACATGGGTGAAAGTCTGAAGGGGGTTTTAAAGCAAACACACACAAATGCAAGTTAAAAAAAACAAAAGATAACGCTGTTATTATCTTAATCATGAATTTAAGTGTGGCCCATACTTGAAATGCTGCAATGAAAAATGGAAAGCTCTTATGTGATTTAACTGCACAGAAATGGCTCCAGAAAACACAGCATGTCAGTTATTTTGATGGCATTTGACTCTATTTGGTGATTTTGATTTCTAGGTTGGAAGATCCATCAGCTTGAAAGGCTGCTCCGCTGAGGACGCTCTGCAGAGCAGGACGGCTGCTCAGGCAGGAGGGAGTGGCAGTCTTCTGCGGTCTGGCAGAGGTCTGCGTCTGGGACTGGGAGCTGTCACCAGAACGGCTACGATCTCGGCCAAGGGCAGAGGACCTAGTCAAGGTCAGAGGTCAACACAAGTCTTCAGCCAGCCGGTCCAACCTGTCACCCCAGCAACTAATCAGAAAGACCCGGATAATACAGGTAAATTAAACATTTGACCAGATCTGAATTTTCCACACAGAAAGCAGCAAGGATAGCAACTGTAAATGACCTCTTTTGAGTCATCTGAGCTCATGTCAGATTCTATTTTCAGCAACCTAAAATTTATACTGCATTACCTTTCTTCTCCTCTGCCGCACCAAGCAGTTTTGGGACCCTTTCCTCCCCCTATCAACTTGGCCCGAGATGAAGGCAGCTCATTAAAATGCATTCTCTGAGATTAATTTTGATCTGATTGGGAATCTTTTAGAGACACTCTGAGGGGACTTGTTCCACACCAGTACGCTGCCATCACCAAAATCAAATAAATAAATAACTACTTCCTCTTTACGCACAAAAATTTTCCAATTCTGAGGGTTCAGATAGCATCTCGGGCTGCCGAACTCAGATTTAAGTCACAGCTCAACCGTTAATGCAATATTGGAGTCTAAAATTTTCTCATCATCCTGCACACTGCTGGCAGGCTGTGTCATTTATCACTCCCATGCATGTTTGATTTGCTGTGTAGCTGAGGGTGCCAACGCAGACACAAACTGATAACATCCAGAGAGATTTTGTACATGTACATGTGTACTTTAATATATACATATATACACAAAATACATACATACATACCCAAAACTGAACATGCACAATTGATCAGCATAGTTTCATGATGTGCTGGGCTTCCTTATCATAATCCTTATTAATACATATGCATAGCAACTACATGCCGCTTGGCCCTCTGGGAACTAAAGCCTTTGAAGTACAAAGCAATTAACACTTAAGTGATGTCACTATCTTCTTCTGGAATCCTCCATGCCCTTTGCATGGTTGGATAAACGGCACCTGAAATGCTGAAATTATTTGAGCTTTTCATTTTTTCTCATCAGTCTCCTGGGAAAACCCTAACTAGAACCCCCCACCCCTTTATTTCATTCATCTCTGTGAATAACAACATGCAAGGGAAGAGGAAATCTCTCTGTATCACACAGATTATAGTAGTTATGCTATAAAGTTATTGTGTAGCTGTCAAGCTGCTCAAACTACTTACTTAATTACTATATAGATACGTCTAAATACTGTATTGTTTTTATAATAAGGACCTTCTTCTCATATGTGTTGTAGCAACCACAGCTTCTTCGTGCTGACACTCTCATCTACTCTAAAAGCAGTGATCCTGATGCTTTGTGCATGTTCTGCTGCAGAGATTGTGATAAACTCAGGTGTTACATTTACATGGAATTTAACACTCAGTGGAGGTAATCGGTGCAGGTTTTTGTGTCTCACCTTCACCTGACTCTAAAAGACTGGCGATTGTTGCACCTTTCCCAGCTGCCTATCCCATTGAATTTTTCTGGCCTAAATTACTTAATGTCCTTGCTTTCATTCAAAGGCAGTGGACGGAAATATGGTTTTACTCACGTCTTTAGCATTGGCAAAACTCTTAGGGTTTTCTAAGGGAAAACAATTATAGCCTAAAGGACCTTTATAAATAAGCTTTTTGATGGTGACTTTATCACAGAGAACTTTAAGATGTGTGGAATAAAGACACCGGTTACTGCTTTCTATATTCACAAGCAGTCTGCAGCTGTGGTATTTAGGCTATAGTTGATGATTGCGAAGCTCACTTCTCTCCCTTGTCTCTCAGAGTGAATGAGTACAGAGGAGTGGGGGTTGGGAGGATAGAATAGAAATGAGACCATTTATCTTGAATGATCCTGACCTTCTCACTCTAGAGGAGCAAGCTCCAATCTAATGAACAGACCGCATGGCACACAGACGGGCGCTAAGGATCGAGGGAGGACATGACAAGTGCGAGCAGCAGCATTGATGATGCTGGAAGGGAGCTAGACTGAAAGCTTTTTTAATTTTTCTCTCGGGTTTTCCCCTCTCTGTTCCAACAGAGTTTTATTTCTCCTTCACAAAGTTTTTCTTTCTTTCTCTTGTCCTCACGATGTGGTTGCCCACATAGCATGCACTGGCACATGCAGCTGTGCCAAATGGAGAGGAAATGAGGGCTGTCTACCTTATCTCTGTAGCCAGCAGGGGATAAAGCTCCTCTTCCACCCAGGATCTAGACCTTGTTCTGCAGGCTAGTGCAGCCAAGATGGAGCTTTTATCCATGGCCTGGGGATTTGCCCACTGCCCATTGTGTGTATATTTGTGTGTAGCCTTTGTTGTTCATGCCTTCACATTTCATCTGTATTGCCATTGGAAACCATAGATTACAGCAAAGAGAGGATTTCTCACAATCGTTCCCTGACAATAGCTTCCTCTATGAGGCTGTGATTACCTTTTTAACCTCAGTTTCTCTCTTTGATTCCAAACATTTTCCTTTTGTCCCTCAATAACAATAGTTTCTCTTTTTTTAAATTTACCTTCCATGCCTTTCCAGTTTGGAAACGACTGCTTTTAGTCTTCCAGATAACTTTGAAGGGTTACTGATAATAAGGCAGTAAGGTTATGGGTTAGATAGATATATTAACAATGACCTGATCTGTGAGTGTCACATTGAATACCATGATAGCGCTGGCGTTTGAGAACCCGCTGGCCAGTAGCCCAGTCTGCAATCACCAGCAGAGCCAAACACAGCTGTTCACAGGTTGTTGTGTGTATACTTATTATATTTACTTGGCGCAGCAGTCATAGTCATAGAATGACGAACTTCCTGGTGCCCACTGAGAGCTTAGTCAACACAGGATAATGAATGGTTCACAGGGGGATAAACATCACAACTGTTGAGCTTCTTGTATATATTTTGCCTAATGAGTTTAGTCAATAAGTACTAACACACACACATATACATGCACACACAGAGACATCTGTACACAAAATTACTTTCCTGTATATCAGGATTCATTTGTTGCAAATTAGACAAAAGGAGCATAAATGCAGTAGAGCCAGATATGATGAAATGCAGTGAAGTAGTGCTTTTTTTCTCAGTTCTTTGCATATGTCTTGATTAGTTTTTTAGAATTCTCAGTAATACACATGAGATAACATGATTTATGCTTGATTCTCAGATGACCAGGCTGCCACCCCGCCTGCTACTATGACAGCAGCAGCCCAGCCCCAGGCTGCAGCGGCCTCCAGGTCTCTGCTTCCCAAAGCAAGTCAGTCGGGTCTTCGCCCCCCAGGTTTCAGCTCCAGCCGCCTGCCCGCGGGCCGCCTGGCGGCATTTGGCTTCGTCCGGAGCTCCAGCGTGTCCTCTGTCTCCTCGGCCCATTCTGCTGACAGCACACAGAGTGACCCCTGCAGAACAGCTCACCGTGAGTCAGCTCAAATCTGTTGACACCACCATTACCACGCGTGAGATAGAGGCCCTTCCATGCACGCTTCTGCTTTTCTATGATGCCACGTTCACGTCACGCGAATGCCTGCCTGTTAACTTTAATGCCGACTTTATCACCACATTATGATACATTAAGAGTGATAAGCACTTAAGCGCTTTTGTTGCCTTCCACTGTGTTTTCCCTCATGAATATAGTTTGCATAAACAGCCCCCACCCACATGCATTATGTTAGGGTTTGCTTTCTCTTTGTGTTCCACCCCTCCTGCAATTTATCCTTCACTCTGAATTTTCACACACAATATCAATGTAATTATCGTCTGCAGAGACACAGATTCAAAGAGCACATCTTCCATAACACACGAGGACACCAAAGAAAAATCAGATTATAGTCACTAGCAGTGCAGTGTGTAGCTGTGATAAGTCAGTTCAGTGCAGTCAATTCGCATTAGTGTTTAATCATCAATAGGTTTGTGCACAGGCCACGTTGGTCTTTCCATTCTTACGCTTAGTGTTTGTCAAAACGACACAGCACACATCATCGTTACCCAGACTTACCAGTAATTTTACAGGTTCTTACTGTAACTGGGTCTGTGCTGCAGATTCTGTCAGCATTAGCAGAGATAACAGCAATGCTTGTGTGAATAGCTTTCATTTTCACAGTAGCAGGGGCCTGGAAGAATTTACAGTTGTGATCCCAGTGCTGCTTGGCAGACTGGTTAGATAGTTGGCTGAATTTTGTGATGGCTGCATGTGTATTTAATGTGACCTACATAGGAAATGCTTGCTCTTCCTCTCCCAGTTACAGTTGACGTAAGCGCCTCGCTCTCACGCACATCAGGCCCCCTGTTATGTCATCGCTCCTTTCCCTCATTTCCCCCCTTGTGCTCATACTTTTTTTTTATCCTTGTCTTTTCTTTGCCATTGGTTAAAAAGTGAACACAAACTGTGCAGTACTGAGGGAACGGCTCTCTGCAGTGCAACAGGGAAAAGAGGAATCCCTCTGGGTTTCCAAAGCAGAATGTGTTTATCTTTTTTTTTT